GAATAATTAAGGATCGAAATGTGTCATAGCAGTGGAGTGTTATCGTTGATGTTTATTTTCTTAGAAGTTCGAGTACCTTATTGCAGTTGTATGTTGGCTTTTCCCGATCATACCCGCCTCCGATTTGGTACTTGTTGTTCCAAGGTGGCAACGTAAGTAATCTGTCTTTATGCACTATTCTCTCTTGTTTCTCTGTTTGGTCTATCGAGAGCTGGTAAAACATTCAAGTCTGAACTACTGCTGAGTTTGTGATCAATAAAAAGCAAACGTCTTGGAGCATTATGTCTTAGGGTCACCGAAATATCCATATTTGTGGTAATTGATATCATAGCCATTGTTTGTCTTACATGCTAGCTGTCACCGCGTCTCGAAACATTGCTCGTACCTCCTCGATACAGTGCTTATATTTAAATCTTGGTTCATTGAGAGACAGAGGGACCTTGCATCCACTGTTCCTGACATACACAGACAAAATAATGACAATGCTGTTCTATACTGCAATAATTTTGACAGTTGTCAACGGTCTGTATTAAGGATGACAAAAATGAACGCTCAGAGAATGTCGAAAGCGATTTAGCAATAGTTCGAGCTAAAAGAGCCAAAAGGCCGTTGGTCAGTCTTTGGAATAATTTGAAAAAATAATAATGGACTTCACCTCAAACTGGAAGAGAATCAGTTGCGCAGAGAAATAGAAATGAGAAAAGTATGTTTACAAGTTCAGAGCATAGACAGACAAATGTCAGGTTCTCTAGAGTTTTCTTATTCTGAAAGTCAGGAGCACTTGAGCTTACGTTTCTCGCTTCAGGAATCTAATTTTACATCGGAAATAGTATTATTATTTATTATTGTTTCCTCTAATTCCTAGAGGAACATAGGGCTTCAGCCGTGCGTCTCCAGTGCGTTCGGTTCTCTGCTAGAGTCTTCACCTGGCTCCAAGTCTGCCCACACGTTTTCATCTCCTCTTCACATGACCTCCTCCAAGTCACCCTTGCACTGACGACCAACTCGCCGCTTCCCTTTCAGGTTCCACTCGAGCAATGGCTTGCCTAGTGATGTCACTTGATGGTTTCCTCAGAGTATGGCCAGCCAATCCATCTGCATTTCTTCCTGCCTATTTGTTTCACAATTGGTTGCTGGTTGGTTTGCTCCCAGAGATCTCTGTTGCTGATCTTTTCCGGCCGGCCATCTGATCTTGGGAAGTATTGAGCGAAGACAACTGTTAATGAAGGTCTGTAGTTTGTTCGAAGTGCCCTTTCGTGACTCGGCGCCAAGTCCCTGATTCGTGTAGTGAGTAGCACTGACTGACTTCACATTGGAGTTGAAAATCCGGATCTTATTTTTGACGCTGAGTGCTGTTGACCTCCACACAGACTTGAGAGTAGTGAAAGCTTGTCTTGCTTTCCCGATCCTTGCTTTGATATCCTCGTCAGTTCCGTCCGCCTGTAGTTGAAACGATCCTTCCCAGGTAGGCAGGTAAAAGAGGTTGTTTCTTTCAGGTTCCTTCCATTTATGCTGATTGTTGTCCGTTGTTGTTGTTGTTGCTGCGTGTGGTGGTGTTGCCCAGAAACCTTCATCACCTCTGTTTTCTCTATGTTCACCTGAAGTCCTGTCTTCTCTGGATGATTCTTCTGCCAACTTGTTGCTTTTCGCTTACATATCTTCCAGTTTGTAGGAAATCAGACATATATCATCGGCGAAGTCCAGATCCTCCAAGTATTTTGTGTGAGTCCATTTTATTCCTGTTTCCTCATTGCCCGCTGTTTGTCGCATTATCCAGTCTACTGCAATCAGGAAAATCATTGGCGATAGTAGGCAGCCAGCTTGTCTTACTCCTGTCCTCACTTCGAAGGATTCCGTAAGTTTCCCGTTGTGGATTACTTGGCATGCAGCATTGTCGTACAGCTGTTGGATGAGATGTATAATTGTCGGTGGCACTCCGTAGTAGCGAAGTAGTTGTCAAATCACCTCTCGATCGACGCTGATCGAAGGCCTTTTCAAAGTCGATGAAGTTGAGATAGAGAGGTGACTGCCATTCCAAGCTTTCTTCAATGATGATCCGTAATGTGGCGATCTGATCAATGCATGACTTGTTTCTCCTGAATCCAGCCTGTTCCGGTCGAAGTTTTTCATCCAGGGTATGTTTGATTCTCTCCAGGATGATGCAGCTTAGTATTTTGCTTGGGATGGACAGGAGCATAATTCCGCGCCAGTTCTTGCATTGACTTAGGTCTCCTTTCTTTGGTAGTTTGAATAAGTATCCTTTCTTCCAATCCTCGGGTATTTTGCCTTCTTTCCACACCTTCTCCAGTAGTGGCGTCATCAAGTTCGGTGTTGTCTCTGGGTCCATTTTCAATGCTTCTGCTGGGATTCCATCTGGTCCTGCTGCTTTTCCAGCTTTTAGCATCTTGATTGCCTTCAGGGCTTCTGATTTCGTCGGGGGGTTGGTGTTCACTGGTAGCTCTGTCTCCGTTGTTGGTATTGCTGGGCGCGTTTTAGGTGGTGGTGATTTAGGAGTCTTTTGAAGTGTTCAGCCCAGTGTTCCTTTGCTCCACTTCTTTGGTGAGTGACTTCCCTTGTATTCTTCACCGGCTTAATTGCCCGATAGGTACCTAGTTGTTTGGTAGAGTGTTGCGAGGTCTTCTTTGCCTGCAGCTTGTTCTGCTTCACTTGCCATGGCTTCACAATATTTTCTTTTGTCTTCCTGGCACTCTTCTTTACTCTTTTGTTCAGTGCTTGTAGCTTGCTTCAAATCCTGTTTTTGTTGCTCGTCGGTGCACTGGTGTTTCACCATCCCTCTCTCTTCTGTCAGTCTACAAGTGGCCGTAGTGAGCCACTGTTAGTCCTGTCTCTTCTTTCTGCCTAGAACTTCCATGCAGGTTTGACTCCACACTGTTTTCAAGTTGTTCCAGTGCTTTTCGACGCTGACCTCTTCGCTAGTGTTGATCTGTGTCTCGGCTTTGTCCCTAATGCTTGCAGTGAAGAAGTCCTTTGTGTCCTAAAGGTTAAGTACACGTGAATACATGAAGACTGTGACAACAAAATAGTACCTCTTTCAACATGCGTATAATCTATAACTTAACTCCTCTGTCAGCCTTCGAAACTGTACATGACTGATACATAGCTTGACTTTGTCATTTACAATTGGTATTCGTGGACTTTACAGCATTGCTCCATTGTATGTTGATTCCATGTAACAACCGTCTTCTAACTTCCTGAAGACTTTAGATTACTTACGAAATGAAGCCTTTGTAAGATTTGACAGTTGTGTGTTTAAATTGGATTCGATACCTGGTGTTTACGAGATTCATAAAACTTCTAGGTATATATTTGTTAAATTAATTTAATGAATATATGTTGACTACTAGTTACTTTTCTATTTATTAAGAATTCTTAGAGTAAAATCAATTAGTTGTATTTCAAAAGTCTTGTCTGTGTCTTTTCCTTGCAGGATACTATAAATCATCACTATCGGAGTCTCATTGATGTGGATACTTGCCTTCGAGAAGATTTAAGAGGTGAACTTGCCCGTGTTCGTAAAGAAACTGCTGTTTTGCGCTCATGGTTAGCGTCGTCAAGGGTTCAGTGACGTTCTACTAGTTGTCATCTTCCTGACACTTTACAGACATCAGTTTACTCAGCTTGTGATAACGCTGATACAATTGCTACAAACACGATGTCTGTGACCAGCTTTTCGTGTAACCTGCCATCGTCCCAAGCTATAATAATTCAATTACGAGGGGAATTACGACGTCATATTAGATTGTCAGAATGTCTTGAAACTGAAACTAAAGATTTGAGGAAAACAATAAAGGAGGTGTGGTGAGAGATGGTTGCTAGCCAAATTGGTTGACAGTAATTGAGGTCAATGTTAGTCATGTGAAAACAAGGTCAAGATGGACAGGCGGATACAGTTAACATATAGATGAACCGACACAGCCACAAGAGATGCAAGGTTAACTTTGTGTGAGAAACAACCAATCAACAGACTGTATTTTCTACTAACATTAACCTGCAATAATGTACATCAAAATCTATAAATACGTGTTGATTTTCCGTAATAAACGTTCTGTTGTCTGGCCCTTGTCTTCTGTTGTTACAGAGGCACTTGAAAAAGTAAACACACACACACACTAATAAACGTTTGTGTCTTTCACCAGTATATTATTATTCCCTTGAGTTTCGAGTGGAACATAGGGCTTCAGTCTATTTATATGTTCACTTCACTATGTTCTTTGTAGTCTTTCTATCTGGCTTTACGGTTGTCCATAGACTTTCATTGATTCTTCACACCGATCTCCTCTATGCCACTCTTAGATCTACGCCAATCTCTCAGTTTCCAATCTGGGTTTCACTGCAGGACCTGGTACGTGATTTCACTCAACAGTCTCGTCAGTGTGTGTTCAACCAATCTTCGGAATATTCTTTTGTCAATAGGTTCTTTCTTGGTTGATTCGTTCCCAGAGTTGTTTGATAGTAATACTTTCTGACTGGCCATCTGAACTTCAGTACATAGCGGAGGTAACTGTTGACAAACGTTTAGAGTAGCTTGTTGGAAATGCTTTCGATAACGCTCCAAGTCTCTGCACCACATAGAGGAACTAGCTGACTTGACATTAATTAGTGTTTAAAATAAGAATCTTGTTTCCTACCTTAAGTTCAGCAGATTCCAGATTCCACTAATTTCAGATTAATGATCCGGCTTGCATTGACATCCTCATTCGTTGTGCCTGTAGTTGAGATTTTCACTGGTTCGTCCAAGTGCTGTATAACGTATCGGAATTTATCACAATAATCTTTTGAGTGCAGGACCATCTGATGTTTCTGTCTTCACCTTTCTAATTTATTAGAAGTCACTAAATTAATTTAGATAATTGTTCGTTAACTTTAAATCTGTTGTGTAATTGATCATAGGCTTGCTTATTCGAGTTTTGAAGATGCCAGATTATAATCTTTTCAGGATGTTAGGCTGTGGATTAGCCTGAAGTGAAGCCATTTTTTCCTTAATATTTTGAACTTCCTGATACTGTTTGACCTAAAGTGTATTTAGTTATTTGGTTATTTGGAAAGTAAGGCGGAAATTCCAATCGAAGACTCTTGAGATCGTTAAATGGTTCCAGTTCAAAATGGTTTAGCACGGATGTGAACGGAACAAGTAACAAAATAAAATGTAATAGTAGCATAACATCTAAACCACCAGCGATCACAACTAATGGTCGAAAGTCGGTTGTAGCTAACAGGAGACTTTCTACAAACTCTGGTATTGACCTGCAAGAGATTTCATTTAGTCCACGTGAAGTAGATTTGGACCATCCACCAATTGTTCGTGATATAATAGACGTGGAATCTTTGGCAAATGAGTTCATTTGCTGTGAAAGTAAAGTAAGAGGTGAGTTGATTAAATAAGTGATTCAATTGTGCAACAATCTCAGGTGCAGTAATTCACTGGTGTTAACTTCAGTACAGTCACTTCTCCATGTTTGATTCTTTCAATCTTATATTTGAAGCATAGTTATTTTGTTTTATAGGAGTGAATTTGTCAAAAAAGCGGAATGGGTTTTACTAGTTATGCATACACTTTTTCTAACTGATTATCTTGTATGCTAAAATCATGGTGTCATTTCCTGTGTTATATAATAAAAGAGGGACAGGTTGTTTTCGAATATACGTGATTTGTTAGTGTAATTAGATAAGCTTTACTCAGTAGGTTACAGTTTTACATCCTTCTACTTCATTACCTGTACCTTGAACATCCAAGTAGTTGTTGTTTGCATCCAGCAGTCAGTCTAGTATGATGCTTAATTTAAAATTGTATCTAGAAGAAACGGAAATTTCATTTTATTATAGTCTAGATAACCAGCTAATCAGTCCGTTCTGTTGCACACAGGAGGTCCAATCTCGCCTTGAATGAATCGACGGATGGCGCTGATACGACGTGTTCCGGTAGGGAGTTCCAGTGGTTCACAATTCGATGCGAAAAACGGATCTCCAGACGCAGACGATTCGACCGTGGTTTTTGAACCTTGAGGTGATGTCCTCGCAATTGGTTGGTGCTAGAAGGAAGAAATAATTTAGATAAATTAGCTCCAAAGTCATTTCTTAGGATACGGTATGCTGGTATTAGGTCACCCCTAAGTCGCCTGTATGACAGTGGAAATAAACCCAGTCGACTTAACCTCTCCTCATATGAGAGGGTTGAAAAACCCTTTATTAGCTTAGTTCCTACTCTTTGCACCCTTTCTAATAAGTCTATTTCGTATTTGAAACACGGGCTCGCTGCCTGGATCCCATATTCCAAATGAGGTCTGATATAAGTCGGATATAATATACGAAATATATCAGCGTCACAGTTCGCAAAAGCCTTGCGTATGGCCCATAATATTCGAAAACCCTTAGTGGCTGCAGCTCTACAGTTTGTTGCTGTTTTCAAGTCATGCTGCACAACCACTCCCAAGTCCTTGTACTCAGTGACCACTGGGAGAGTAATGCCATTCATTGAGTAATTGTGCACGTGACTATGAGATACATGCATAACTACACTCTTGCTTAAGTTAATCTCCAAGGCCCAGTGCTTACACCAATCACTTAACAAGTTTAAATCTTCCTGCAAAGCAAGTTGATCACTGTCATCGTGTAAAGCCCTCCATATCTTGATGTCATCAGCAAACAGTAAGCAGGATGACTTAACTACCGATGGAATCTGATTAACATAAATCAGGAAAAGAAGTGGGCCTAGAATTGTACCCTGAGGAACGCCACTCTTAACCGATTCCCATGTTGATAAAACCCCGTTAACTCGTACTCTTTGTCTTCTGTCCTTTAGAAAGTCTTGAATCCAGTCGGCGACCACTTTATTGATTCCCAGACTGCCTATTTATTTTATTATTATTATTTTGATTACAGCTTGATTCCACACCGTATTTTCAGTACAAGTATGGAATTTTCATTGGAAAAGTTAAAAAATTATAATATTATTTGATAAGTGTTACAGCATCTACAAGTATTCAGCATTTAAAAATTCTTCTCTTGATATATGAGAAGAGTCTTTTTGGGCAGCCTGGTGAACTTTTAACTAACTGGGTTTCGTAAGCTATCCTTGACTGGTGAATCAAAGTTTTACACTGGTTTCTGGTTTCACAGTATTTCAGCCGGAACTGCTGTAGCCCAGTAGAAACAAAGAGATTCCAGAACGTTTTTCTCCGTCTCAGGAGTGTTATGGCTTGTCTATTTATCCATGGTGGCCGATTTGTTGGCCTTTTAGGAACCCTCCAGGGAATGAAATCAGTGGTAACCCTCTCAAGTGTATTCTTAAATCTATCCCATTCATCTTCAATGGATGAGACCATATTGACTGACCAGTCGGCAGTTGAAGCACGCTCCTTTATAGTGACTATGTCAGCATGCCAAACACTAGGTCGGGATTTGAGTTGAAAACTGACTAAATTGCCAGCCCTTAATTTAAAATCTAACACCCCATGATCACTATTTGCTAGAGGTGGATGAATAACTAGACCATCCACGTCGTCGTTGTCATGAGTAAGCACTAAGTCCAGCAAGGAAGATCCTTGGGTAAAACCGAATCTTGTACTACCTAAGACATGTTGTGTCAGGGCATTTTCCATGGTAGTCAAGAGTAACCGGCTGTCAAACTTATTAGCGGATCCTGGAGATGTGACAGCTACCCAGTCTATATGAGGTGCATTAAAATCACCTAGAATAAGACAGCTACTGTGTTTACTCCATTGTTTGAGGTGATCTAAAATAAAGTCATCACACTGACAATAGGGACTTCTATACAGAACTCCAATGAGTAGAGTGCCAGTTGCAAAGCTTACTTCACAGCTAATTACCTCACTTGTCCCAGTGTCATGCGCTTCAGATTTCACGGAACCAACATGTAGGGAGTTGTTGATGTACAGAGCAACTCCGCCACCTCTACGACCCTTAACCCTGTCGCTGCGCAAGCAACTAAATCCGCATAGCTCAGGTGTGTCATCTAATCCAGAAACCAGCCATGTTTCAGTAATGGCCACAATACCTGGGCTGAGGTCTTCCACTAATACACCTAGCTCGTGAAATTTGTTCCCGATACTACGTATATTAGTGTACACTACCTTCAGGCTTCCTATGTGGTCCGGCTTATCCACACAGGTCTTGGAAGCATACGTTTCCAACACCTGACTATTTGAAAACCCACCAGTTTAAGGTTAGTCTCACCATTTTTACGTCTTGTTTCTAGCTGGGACAAAACTTCTTTTCGTTTAAGTCTGTCTTCAAGAGATAAGTCAGGTCTGACTGAAATTCCTGACCCGGCGAGGTTGTGTACATTAGCCAGTAGATGATTCCGTTCATCAGGAGAACCTAAGACTACCTTAAGCAACCTACGCTGATTAGAACATTCATCATCTCTTTTGCCTATTCTAATCAGCTTTTTAATCGATACTCCATGGAAATTCGCTGGGAGCATCTTCCTTATAATACTACTCACTAATTTAAGGTCGTGATCGTGCCTTTTCACGGGATCAGATTCTTTGGAGTCTTCTAAATTTCCAACAATTATGTTAGAGTCTAAGGAGAGCTTGTCGTATTTAGCAGTGGCTATGTCTTTTCTCACCACTATTGATGCAGCCTGGCTACAGGTGACAGACGTTTGCCTACCATCAATATTACTATATTTCTTCCGATTGCTTCTTTTTGTTACCCACTTATCATCTGCCTGCAGTTGCTTCTCAGGGCTGCTGCAGTATTTGATGGTACAATCAAGATCAGTGTCTGCACCACCTTCATGGTGAACTTCGCTTACAGTGTTCTCTGGTGCTGAGATGCTGTTTACAGCTTCCGTTTCGTTACCTTTTCGCTTACTAAGACGCTTCGAACGCCTAGTAGGTTTTACTTCCGGGGTAACTGGGACAGTAACCGCCGGTGTGATAACATTCATGATGGCACTTACTGCGTCATCTTCAGACGGGCAGTCCGTGTCACTCTTACTAGCCACGCTATCATCAGGAAGTTCCATGGCTTTAGACAGTCATCTTTGGGGAGCAACACATTCTGCACATCCAGTGGGATGTTGGAGCACTACAACGTTTGTATGCAGCTGGACGCAATCCAGTACACATCTTATGATACCACTTTTTACAGTTATTACACTGTATTCCATCATCTACCAAAAAGTAACACTCCGCCCTAATACATTTATGTGGTACTTTTGACATAATGAACTTCTACTGGAAACAGCCAAGACAATTTACCCAATATAGACTATATAAGTGGTTAAAAATCAAAACTTAACAGACAAAAGTCCAGTTAAAGTTTTGAAAAATGTTCTTGAAGTGAATAACACAACAAAAACAGCGATTTGTCAAATACGTGAAAAAAGCACCCCTTTTTTCAAACATTGTAAGTGCTCCTTGCTAAGTGACGTTGGTAAGTGACGATTTCCGCTCCTGCCTTGTCCACTGAGATTGTAATAGTTTGATATTATTTATTTATTTATTCTTTTAGCGATACGTGTTTGTAAAGCCTGTATGCATCCGATATTTTCTATACTGTCTACAGTGTCTTAGGAAAGTACACTGTCAGCAATCTGTTGTAGCAGTTTGTAGTTGGCGTATGAGTTTCAAGGTGGATATGAAATGGGTATTTATTACTATGGTTTTTTTCCAGGTGTTTCTAATTGATTCCAGCGTTACTTTGACTTTGCGTAGTAATGCCTGAATCCGCATTACATGAAGGTGAATCGTCCAAATCATATTCATGCAGTCTGAAATTCCCTAATATATTTTCGGATGATGATGATGATGATAATAGTGACAAGTTGAGTGATGATCCTCGTCGACGTTTAGCGATCTCTGATAAAAATGTCTCCAGAGATTTTAGTACAATCACTGCGTTTTCTCCATCACAAGAATTGAATTGTGCAACTTTTACTTCCAATGTCTCTATATCACCTCGAAGAATGAATCAATAAAATTTCACAAGACGCATGAAAGTCAATATATTTTTTCGTCGATACCGAATACCGAATACTTATAGCAAGCGTTTGAAGGTTATAATAGAGTGATAGGACCTTATTTCTAGGGGTAAACTGTTCCAGATCTTACAGTACTTGACTTACACCTTTTCCTAGATACTGTGCACGTTTGGTTACGAAGGTTGTAAGAGCCTTCCGGTGAGAACTGTATCTCCTTGCTGTCTGAGAATGATATTTTATGCAAGATTTTAAAGAAGAATGTACGGTTAATGCTCAGTCGTCTCATCCAGAGTGGGTCGATACCTAGAGTTCTACACCTTGATGTGCAGTCCTTTTCGCAGTCAAATCCTAGTAGTTTAGACGTGAAGTATCGTTGGACACTTTCTATTTTAAGTTTGTCTCTTACGCGAGTGCTGCTGAGAATAAATAGACAATATTCAAGTAGTGGTCTGACACATATTTTATATAATACAAGTTTCGCTTCGTAGTTGTGGAAATTCCTGAGTATGCATCCTAAGAGCATCCTCGATTTACGCGTCTGTGTCGCCATTTGCTCAGAGAATGTCATGTCACTAGAGTACCTGAGTCCTAGGTCAACAACACTTTGGAGTTTAGGCAAGTCAAGAGATTCAAGTACCAGTTTGATATTTATTGAGGGTGCACCGAAACAGATCCAACCACATTTTTTAAGGTTGAATTTTAGGTTCCATGTGGAGGACCATGTGGTTACTCTATCTAGTTCTTTCTGAACAGCATTCTGAAAGTATCCTAAGTCATCACAGTGGAATGTGTAAGCAACTTTAAGATCATCTGCAAAGATGAATGGTTTACCCAGTGAGAAACAGCTGCATATGTCGTTGACATATAGAGTGAATAGAAAGGGGCCTAAGACGCTACCTTGAACTACTCCAGAAGTGACTGGACTAGGTTTGGAGTTTGCAGACCCCAGTCTAACCACTTGGGACCTATTGTTAAGGAATGATTCAATCCATCCTAATAGTGGGTTACGTATTCCTAAGGAGTTCAGCTTATTTATTAGAAGCAAATGGCCAACGCATCGATGGCATAGCGGTTAGGACGCTTGCCGACCATGCACATGGTCCGGGGTTCGATCCCCGGCCGACGCACTCCTTTACCTCGCTAAGCCAGAAATAACGTTGGTGAAGAGGAAAGGTTGGGCATGAGGCTAGCAACCCCATCCTGTAAAATAAACACTGCTACAGAAACTTCAGGCCACTAGCTTGAAGCCCTATGTTCCACTGGGGAACGTGAAGGAAAAAAAATGGTCAACGTGGTCAAAGGCTTTGGAGATGTCAAAGTAGATGACTAGTACTAGTTGTTGTTTGTCTCGGCTGCTAGTTATATAGTTAAAGAAGTCAAGGTGACATGTCATGCATGATCTCGATTTTAGGAATCCATGTTGTTTGGGAATTAGAATATTGCAGTTGAGCATATGTTTGAGAATAACATCTTTAACTATTCTTTCAATGATTCTAGATACTATGGGTGTAATATTGATTGGCCTATAGTTGTTGACTTCAGTTTTTGATCCGGATTTGTGTTTGGGAACTATAAATGTGGTTTTCCATTTATCTGGATAGGTTTGGCTTTCTAGGGACATTGTAAAGATCTTAAGTAATAAAACGGAAATGTCAGAACCACCGTGTTTATAAAGATACGATGGTATACCGTCAAAACCAGCACTACTAGAGCTTTTAAGAGTTTTAATGGCTTGGTTAATATTAGAATAAGTGAAATGAACTGTACTGATTTCTTTCAGCGTTGAAGAAGAAGGGAGTTCTATTGTAGATTGTAAACCGAGAAGTGTACTTGTGGGCTTAAGGTAGTTAGCTGCAAACGTCTCGTTAAACAGTTCACACATGTCTACATGGTTGCTGTATAGTTTACCTTTGCTTATAAGGGGAGAAATTTTATGGCTTTGGCGATTCATTCGTTTCTTTAGGATTGCTGTGAGAGCATCAACTCTGGTGGTGCTGGCTAGTGCGGTGCATTCTTCATTTCTCATACGCAAGTTATGAGCTTGCGAGATGGAGCTAAGAGTACTAAGTATTGACCCTAGTGTACTAAAGTCGTGTAGTCTGAAGTAACTTGTTGACAGTCTCTTCAGTTTCCTACGATCCTTTGGCTTTATGAATGCCTTTCTATGTGGGGAAAACTTTAGTGTTTGAAGTGGGATGACAGCATCTAAGGATGTGTTGGAGTTATAGTAAAAGATGTCTAGAGCTTTCGAGAGGTTACCAGTGTAGAAGTACTCTCTACATTCTGAGGATCTTAGCATTGATTTCACTAGAGTCCAGTCTGCCTTACTGTAGTTCCTGTAAGTTATTTGTTGTGAAGTAGGGGCATGGGTTGCTTTGCTACTTGACGGAAGTGGCAGTGCACACAGCACTGTTTTGTGGTCACTCCCTGAAAACTCAGAACCTACTAGGGTAGAAAGGGGACTTATGTTGTGGCAGAAGATTAAGTCTAGTACGTTATTACCTCTTGTCGGGGTTGTGACAGTCTGCTTCCAGCCAAGTATATCCAGTGTGCCTAAGAACTTATCAAATTTAGTTGGGCCTGTGGGTATTTCCCAGTTGATTTCTGGTAAGTTAAAGTCTCCACATAGGATCTTATGATCGTAGTGTAGGGTGGATAATTGTTCCAGAGTATTAATAAGTTGGGTTTCGTAATTAGTAAAGGTACCAGGTGCTCTGTAGGTGCATCCAATTAATACTATTGCGTTATTTCAGTGTAAGTTAACCCATAAAGTCTCAGGCATGTTAAGTGTACTACTTTCTAGCCGTGATACAGTAAGTGCATTCAGAAAGTACATGAGACGACCCTCTCCCTCACCACCTTCCCTGTCACACCGAAAGTGTGTGTAGTTATCTAAGCTTATCTCTTCATCCAGTATGTTCGAATTACACCAGGATTCAGTGATGACAATTATAGGGGGTTTGTATATTACTGTGAGTGCTCTGAGCATCGGTAGTTTATTTAGAACGGATCTAGCATTTATGAGGATTAGGTAAAGATGAGATTTGAAATAGCATTTGAAGTACTTAAGTTCGTCAATCAGCCCCGAATGTGGTTCAGCACCCAGTAGTGCTGTTTGACATGACGACCCTATGTTAAGAGGAGTTTCAATATCATGCTAATCTATGTCTATCGAGTTGATGTGTGCTGTTTTCAGTGAAGAATTAAGCGTTGGAGTACTGGATTTGCTATAGGCTAAGGCATTTTTATTTTTAGTTAAGCTGGAAACGTACGTAATGCTACAGCGAGTGTAGAGTTAATTCAAATGTGTAATAAAAACATCCTACATTACTGCATAGCATAGTTATTACTGTGGTGAGAGCAAGCTGCTAGCCAATTGGTAGACATTGATCTACGCTGATTGGTAGAAATTAATCTAGGCTGATTCAAGGACCAATCACAGCTGACCTTGACATGGACAAATATGATTCGCAGACAAGTGGCTCGCATTTCCGAGAAACATCGAAAACGAGAAAGCAGAAGACTGCGTTTGTGTGCAAACAACCAATCAGAAGACCGCCTTCTTTCTGCGGGCAGAAGCCTATTAATGTACGTAAAATACATATAAATACCTGTTGGTTTTCGTAATGAAACTGATCTGTTGCCAGCCTTGTCTTCTGTTGTTACATTTGGTGTCGCTGCCTCCGGAAAAATGAAGATCCCGTGGCCAGCTGCGTTTGAGGAGGGAGACATACGGAGCTTCCTACGTGATTTCGAAGCCATAGCTGATCTGGTGGGTGTCAAGGAGCAGGCGGCGAAGGCAGTTGTTCTGGGGACGCTGTTGAGAGGCCGAGCGAAGGCGGCATATGACAGCGTAGACCGGTCAAACGGCACAGTGTCTTGGAAGAAATTGGTTGAAAATTTGGTGTCGGAGTTCGACAGCGCAACAGACAGGCAGCTAGCGATGCAGCAGTTCCGATCAACGAGGCTGGGACCTGATGGAGACCCGTTAGTATTGGCGGTGAAATTGACGAATTTACTTCGACGGGCGCTTCCCACGTTGGATAAAGAATCAGAAGAGCAGTAACTATCTTCCCAATTCATCGAGAGTGTACCAAACCACATTTCTCAGCAGTTAAAACTGGTGAACGCAACGCAACCGATGGATATTAGTGAACTAGCGAAGGTGACCAGACAGCTGCTGAGCACGACTGTAGCCGCTATAGAGCAGCCGAAACCAAATGAATATGAGGAGCAAATTGAAGCATTGCAGCGGGAAGTGGTGGCGTTAAAGTTGGGTAATAGAAAAAACCGATGTTTTGAATGCGGTAAGCCAGAACACTGGAGAAGAGACTGCCCAGAAAGACAGAAAAGGAAAAATTTCAGACGGTATAATGCTTGTTCTTTCTTTCGTATGAACCTAGACTTAGTAGGGGCGATTGAGAAAGGGGCTATGTATTCGAAGTTGCGAGTAAATGATCGAGAAGTAGTATGCTTAGTAGATACAGGAGCGGCCGTGTCGTTGATAGATAAGAATTTATGTAAGAGCCTTAGTCCGTGTTCGTTGACAGTACAAACAGTAGGCGGGCATGTGTTGCGTATAAGGGGTAGGTCGAACTGTACGATTGTTGTTGGAGGGTGCGAGGTGACGTTTCCTTTCATTGTTGTGCCCGAACTACAGCGAACGATATTAGGAGGGGATTTTCTGCGGGAGATTGGTGCAATAATTGACACGCAAGCGAAAGTGGTGCTCACGAAATACGGGCGTATCAAAATGTATGAGACCAGCGAGATAGCAGCGGTGAACCTGTCGACGGTAAACAACATGACAAATTTAATTAAGAAATACGATCATCTGTTCACTGGAGATGGCGATCCATACGGTTATTGCGACAAGGTGAATCATGAAATTCCGTTAACTAATCCAAAAGTAATGTCATTTAAATCGCGAAGAATACCATGTCATCTGGAAGGCGAAGTGAAGCGGCAAGTGCAAGAGATGTTAAAAGACGATATTA